CTGGAATTCTACACCTAAGAGGGTTCAAACCTTCTTTGAAGTTGTTAAGCAACTAAAGTTGACATTTGAGAAAAAACTGGTACTTGATTGTCCAACTAGATGGAATTCCACATACCATATGCTCTCTGTTGCTCTTCAATATAAGGATGTTTTCTTTCGTTTGAGCTTGAGGGACAGTCAATACACATCTGTTCCTTCTAGTTCACATTGGGAATTTGCATCTGTTGTGATTGATAAGCTGGAAATATTTTCTGAGATAACTCAGTTATTCCCTGGTTCCAAGTATCCGACTGCCAATCTTTTCTTCCCAAAGATTTGTGACTTGAGATTGAAACTAAATGAGTGGGGTCTTGACCCCAACCCTGTGATTTTTGGAATGGCCAGTCAAATGTCTGAGAAGTTTGATAAGTACTGGGATGATATCCATCTTGTACTTGATGTTTCGGTTGTTTTGGATCCTAGATATAAGCTCCATGTGATTGAATACTATGCTGGGAAGTTTGGGAGTATGGAAACTGACTTGGTTGGTGAGAATATCAAGAAGATTATTTGTGGTTTGATTCTTGATTATCAAACCAAAGCCGAGAAGAAGTCTGGTTCTGAAACTGGAACTTCTTCTGCTAGTTCTGGATCTGTCTCGGCTACTGAACTTGACTTTGAGCTCTTTGTAAGTCAAAGGAAAAAGAGCAAGAGTTCTTTGATTACTAGTGAGTTGGATATGTATCTTGCTGAGGATATTATTCCTCGAACAACAGATTTTGATCTGCTCTTATGGTGGAAACTGAATGGTCTCAAGTATCCAACCTTGCAAGCAATTGCAAGGGACCTTCTGGAAATCCCAATTACATATGTTGCTTCTGAAAGTGCATTTATTTCTGGTGGGAGGTTGTTAGACCCTCACCGGAGCAGGCTTCATTATTCCACTGTTGAATCAATGATGTGTACACGAAGTTGGATTATGGAAGACATGCAACGAGGTAACATGCAACTAAATCTCTAAATTCTAGTACAACTAATTTTGTTTAAGTGTAACTAATATTTGTATACACTTTTCTGCAGATTCGGAGGCTGCTGCTGTGGAGGCATTGGAGGGAGTCTTCTCAGCATTGTCAGTCGAAGATACTACTGTAGAAGAGGCATAACCTGGGGGGTAAGAAAATTAGTGCATTTCTAATTTTGTTCATTGAGATGGTGTTCCTGAGATCACCATTCTGGTTTTTAGGTCCAGAAATGGTGTTCCTGAGATCACCATTTGGCCATGAAGACTGATCCATTCTCTACTGTCCAGCCAGGTTAATTACTTTAAAACTTCTTCTCTTTTGTTGCAAGAACATGGAGTTTGTTGGTGTTACTGGTTAGGATTAGGGAGTTAATTCTTTTTACTTGAATGTTGGTGCAGAATTTCAAATGATGAATGATGACTGCCGCTACCTGCTATTGAGTAAGATGGCTAATGGCTTGATGGGTTCATATTGCTCGAAGGAAGGCTGCTGTTGGTGCAGAATTTCAAGTTGAAGCTTCATCTGGCTCGAAGGAAGGCTGCTGTTGGAATTGATCTCAATAGTTAGGATGGCTGATGGCTTGGAGCTTTGTTTAGCTTAGTTGTTCTTGCTTTGAATAAGACTCGGCAATCAGACTGCTGAGAATGGATTCTCTTTTGTTGATTTCAGTTTGGATGATTTGATATTGCTCTTGAATCTTGATTGTTGATCTCAACTTTCAAGTTTCGAATGTTGTTGCTGTTAGTTTCAGACTTCAGTTTTTGAGATCTTTTATTGATAATAAAAGGAGATGTCAGATTTTCAGGTTTTTTTTATTTTACTGTCCTTTTTGTTGGCATTGTTGCGGGTTTTTCAGACCCGTGGGCACCCGAAAACCCAGCGGTGACGGGGCTGGATATACTACTAGGCCCGGAAGCACGTTTGGGTCGGGGACGGGTAAACCCGAAGCCCATCGTGGGCGGGGAACGGATACAGGGTACCCTGCCCCGATCCGCCCCGTTGCCATGCCTACTATGGAAAGAGCGATGTACTCGAGTTTTTGGAGCAAGCAACAAGGACGGATTGGCTCTTATTGCCGAGTATAAGAGTTCAATTTTTGTAATCTCCTATAGGAAATGTGTTATTTTTGCACATGACATAAGTAAAGCAACTTCCTCATTTTGTAATCTCCTATATACTAAGGGGAGTTTGAGTAGTTTTTACATGTATGTAGTCCAAACGGTGGAGCTTGCTGTTTGGTTTTCTATTACTGACTAGAGGGTTAGGGGTAGTGGGGTACTTAAACGAAATGTTAATTATTGAAAAAAATATGATGCTTTTACATTGTTGTCATATCATGATCTTAACACTATCGTATTCGTAAGACTGCTCAACACAACGTGAAATTTTTTGTTTAAGAAAATTATCAAAATGAATGTCATTTGTAGTTTTACATTATAGTAAAACTTCACTATCGTACCACTATTACAGACATCATACCAGTGACACCACTATAGTAAGACTTCATCATACCACCTCATCACTGTCATACAGACTGCACAATATATTGTGCAGTCTGTATGACAATGATGAGGTGGTATTATATATGGTGAGTTTTACGGTACCCTGGGTAAAATCCGGGGTACCGCTTACCTTGAGTATGAAAACACTATCTAGACCTTGAATTGACCGATCTTTCGGACATGATACTATACTCTAACCCTTAAAGATCAAAATCTAGGTCATAATTCTCCCAATCATATAATCCAAGATCAATTTGATTAGAAACAATAATCGACGGTTATGATTCGTCCAAATATAGGCACAAAGAGGAAAGCATCATCTTAGGGTTTATAGATTATGATTTAGATAATTAGGACCTAGGGTTCACTCATTAAGGGTTAAGGTATAGTATCAGACCCAAAAATCCTGCTAATTCGAGGTCTAGATACCGTTTCCATAGTCAAGGTATGCGGTACCCCGGATTTCACCCAGGGTACCGTAGAAGGCACCATAATATATATATATAATATTTTTTTTTATAGTGGTGAATCAATTTATTAAAACTTGTAAGTAGTTAAATTACAATCGGCGGCTTCTCAGAAAAGACAAATCCTCGGGTTTGAATTCTGATTATGAAGCTATTCTGTACTAGTGTAACATAATAACGAAGTGATTGCCCAACAAAAAAAATAAAATAAAATAATGCAGTGATTGCTGCTTGCTTTGGGTCAGCATCTCCATGTCACTGTCAACTTCTCCTCTCCACACGTATTACGTGATAACTATAGTCTATCTATAGAAACGTTTGTCACATTTGCCTTGTACACCCTGTCCTCTATCGATAGCCAATCAATCAGGATTTGGACAGCCCCTCAAAATCATACAAAATTTCGAAACTTAAAAATTGACCCCTAATTTTGTTGTAAAATTTGTTTTTTTTTTTATAGAAAATCTCCCCAGTGTATATCTATTGCTATGTAAGGGAGTGGCATAAATCTATAATTAATTTTTGTCAATAATACAAGATATTGTGACCAAACAAATTATTTCAGAGCTGATTTGGTCGAGTGGTCGTATTCGAATTTTCACTATCCACGTTCTGTTGACACTGTTCATCTAAACTTTGGCAACAGTTAAGGATATCGCCTTGCAAGTTAAAGACTCGTGAATGTTGGGTGGTGATTTCAACTTTTTCCTAGGGCCACTATAATAAGCAAGATGAGGCTCAATTTTGCGAGTCACGGTGGCAGGAGTTTCGTGACTGTCTCCAAGATTGTGCTTTGGTTGATGTTCGGAATGAATGATGACATCCTTCTTAGCTTTCAAACCTTTGGAAACAATACAATAAATGAGATAAAATTATCCTTTTTTTTCTTTATCTTTCAATTAGTTAATTTATTATTTTTTGAAATCAATTTAAAAAAAATTACAAAAAAAAAATTGTGATATACAACGATGAGCTAAAGTACAATATTTGTACCACTAACCTAATTTCTATTATGTTGCACAGAAAGCTTTATGCATCTGACTCGTTCCACGATCGGGACCGCATATATTGTTAGTGTTGTGGTATATGATCCACGATTGAACCTCTCCCAACAAATCGGGTTATTGGGTTCAATTGGTTTTTGACATGGTATTAGAGCCTTTTTGTGACCGAGAGGGCGAGAGGTCTTGTGTTCGATTCCCGGTGACCCCATTTGTTAAGCACATGATATTCTTGTCTTCAGATCTGTGCAAATTTCAAGCCCTTGTGAGCAGTGGCGGAGGGAGAAGGTAACAGGGTGGGTCCCGGGACCCACCCTGGTTCGGGGAAAAATGGTTAAATTAGGTACAATAGTTAATTGATATCGAAAATTGGGTCGCATTTAATTGATAATAGTTGGTCGAAAAGTTTTGTGTTTGAATCTTAGCGACCTCATTTCTTAAGCATACGATATAAAGATTTGTGCAAACATCAATTTCGTATAAGTTAACTTTCTTATAAGGGAGCATGCTAGTAAATAGTATAATATACTATTGAAATCTTCAAACAACTCGATTTATTGATACTAAATATTTTTTTAAGAACATCATTCGAAAGCGAACGACTAGGTAAATCATGAATTATTGGTTGGTATAAGATTTATATTTTTAAACCTCTATCAACAACTCAATGTATTGATATTAACGGTTCTTAACAAAGAACACCATTTGAAACACTTCGACTAACTAAATCAATGATTGTTTGATATATATGCAAAGTGATATTCTTGATATCTTCGACTGCTAATGCATTTTAATTTATCAAAAGTTTTCAACATAAGATTATATTAAAAAAATATTTTATCAAATTTATTTTTTTCGAGGTGGACACATTATACGAAATCCTGGCTACGCCACTGTTTGTGAGTGGCTTTCATTTAAGGGGGCGTGTTAGTGTTGTGATAAATGATCCACGATTGAACCTCTACTAACAACTCGAGTTATTGGGATCAACTGGTTCTATATACCTGAATTGGGATTAAACTGAGCAGCATACACGGTGGAATGAAATTAATTTAACGACTCTCTTTCTAATTTTTATATTAATTATCTCCATGGAAAAATGACGTCGAACCCAACGAACGCAATAATTCGATATAAGAATACCACCTTTTGCTCGCGAAATTGCAGACTCATGAACCAGTGACCTGAATTCAACGACAAAAAAATAAAAATTGCAGACTGATATCGATCGCTCGCGAAATTGCAGACTCTCCCACAAAATGGACTATGTACATGCCATCATCGCTGCGCTGTCCACTATCTTCTGCTTCTCCTATCTAATAATGATCACCACCATCTCCACGACTCGCCGCAGAGAAAAGAGCAACGCTCAGAAGAACCCACCCGAGCCAAGCAACGCGTGGCCAATCATCGGCCATCTCCGCGTCCTAGCCGGACCTCAGCCTCCTCACCGAGCCCTGGGCGCCTTGGCCGACAAACTCGGCCCGGTGTTCTCCCTCCGCATCGGTTCCCACCGCGTGGTGGTGGTGAGCAGCCCCGAAATCGCAAAGGATCTCTTCACCGTCAACGACGCGGCCGTCCTGTCCCGCCCGGCGCTCACCACCGCCAAGTACATGTCCTACAACTTCGCCCTGTCCGCGGCCGGCCCGTACGGCGCTTACTGGCGGCAAATGAGGAAGATACAGATGGTGGAGCTGCTCTCCAACTCCCGCCTGGAGCTGCACAGGCACCTGAGAGAATCTGTCGTCGAGGAATCGGTCAAGGGTCTCCACCGCAAGGTGGTGGCGGCGGGCGGGCAGGGATTGGAGGTTGAGCTCAAGAGTTGGGTTGGGGATTTGTCTCTCGGCCTTATGCTCCGAATGATTGTAGGGAAACAGAGTAGCTCTGCCGCTGCACGTGGCGAGTACTCCCGATTTATGGGCGCCGTGGAAGAGTTTTTCCGTTACCTGGGGATGTTCGTGGTGAGAGACGCGATCCCCTGCCTCGGGTGGATGGACGTCGGCGGCCATGAGAAGGAGATGAAGAGTGTGGCGAAAGAATTGGACGACCATCTTCAGGTATGGTTGGTTCAACACAAACGGAACCGAGTAGATCCGGGTCTGATCAATTCAACTGAGACAAGGGAGCAGGATTTCATGGATGTTCTTCTCTCTGTTCTGGATGAAGATTCCCACCACGGATATGATCGTGATACAGTCATCAAAGCGACGTCATTGGTAATTAATTAACCCCTCTTAAAAATACTCTTTGTCTTTCGTTTGTGCGTGGTCGGGTAAATCGAGTTCACTCTACATCATCTAGATGTCAAATTGATCAGATTTTCGGTATATGAATTTATGCCATAATCATTGATGAGTGAACTGTAGATCTTAATTAGTTAAATCATAAACTTTAAACAGTTAAGATATTGCATATAAGTTATTTGATGTATGACCACAGATTATTATTTACAATTAAATTGGTGTTAGTGTATGAAATTTATAGAATTAAGAAATAGATTTTAATCTTTAACAGCGAGGATCTAGTATCATGTCCCAAACTTCGATCATTCAAGATCTATATATCATTTTATCACTCAAAATATGTCAGGCATTTGATTTGACTTAATCGTACAACAAAACCATCTTTATATATGAGTCAGATTGTTGTACTTCAAAACCTTATTACAATATCTTTATTTAACCATAAATGAAACTAAATTTAAAATATGGTATTATACTCTAATCTTTGAGTGATAAACCCATCATCACCATATAGTTAAAAAAGCTTACTCTAATTAACAACAACAACAAAAAAAAAAAAGAGTATGATTGTAGGGGGAATAGATACAACTACCGCGACTGTGACATGGGCAATCGCTCTGCTGCTGAACCACCGCCATGTGCTGCTCAAGGCACAAGAAGAGCTCGATCGATACGTCTCCAGGGAAAGAGCAGTGACGGAAGAAGACATTGGCAAGTTGGTCTATCTCCAAGCAATCGTCAAAGAAAGCATGAGACTGTGCCCAGTGGGACCGCTCCTGATGCCGCGAGAGTTCACCACTGACTGCGATGTGGGCGGATACAGAGTTCGCAAAGGCACGTGGCTGATGGTGAACGCCTGGAGGATCAATACCGACGCAGATGTTTGGGCCGACCCGACGGAGTTTAGGCCGGAGAGGTTTTTGACGACCCACAAACACATTGACGTGAAGGGGCAGAACTTCGAGTTGTTTCCGTTTGGGAGCGGGAGGAGATCTTGCCCTGGGATGAATTTGGCACTCCAGGTGGTGCTTTTGGTGCTGGCAAGTTTCCTGCACGTTTTCGAGATTTCGACGCCAGGAGACAAGCCGGTGGACATGAGGGAGAGCATCGGACTCACTAACATGATAGCTGCGTCGCTTGATGTCGTTGTCAATCCACGACTGTTGTCGAACATTTAGGCAGACTAGGTACTACGCATGTGTGTGCTTGGGATGATATGTATTTTCAGGATTGGATGCTTTATGTTTGTAGAGATTGCTAATAAATTGGATGTATGGATTGTTGCATTTCTGGATTAAGTGAATTGGATCAAATGGATTAGTGGTGAACTCCAAATACCACAGACTTCCTCTCAAACATGTGGCGTGGAATCTTTCGAATTTTCCATTTATCGAGTGGATAATTTGGATTGGTAGACTGGATCATGGTTTGAAATTATTGTCATCAAATGTTTATCGTAGGGTAGGTACGAGGCATGTATGTGCTTGGTTTGATATGTATTGTCGGGATTGGATTTAATTTAACCGTAGGATTGAATTTAAGCGTAGTTTGGCCTGGATAATTATATGTTTGTGCGAGGATTGAATTTAAGCGTAGTTTGGCCTGCATATTCCAATAATAATGTAATGCATATTATTAATACCGAGAATTTTATGGTTCCATTATGACATTGGTGCAACAATAATTTGACCGGATATTCAAACGAAGATCATGATTTTATTAGTGTGTGGGATAAGTGTAGAAAAATTTGGAAAATCAGAGACCGTCGACAAAATAGCTTGTTGGTGGCAATTCAATATTACTAGAAGCTTGGGAATCAAGTCAAAATCAATCAATTAATCTTGATTGATTGATTGCATAATCACAACTCAAGAATCACTCATTCAATCAAGCGTTGCTAAAATAGGAAGGATGATGTGTCTCCAACCAACTCGCACAAATCATCATTCACTCACCTCCTCATCTATAAAAGGAGCTGGATCTTCATGATTCAAGAACCTTTTGTGAGAGAGCGGCAAAGGACTTCTAAACAAAAGGGTTTAGCAAAGGGGAAGAGGTTCTTTGCTAGTGGCTAATACAAATTCCGGAGTTTGGAATTTGGGTTGTCTATTCATCATTCGGTTTTACTTCTAGCATTTTTCTTCTTTGAGTTTTCATTTTGATTTGTTATTTGTACATGTAAGTTAGATCGTCAAGAAAATAAAAATAGAGTCGTAGGGGTGGACGTAGCCCATTGCACCGGGGTGAACCACGTTAAAAATATCGTGTGTTCTTTAGATTTCTGCAACTTTATTTTCCACTACGGGAAAAATGGCCTCTTGCAACTCCCACAAATGTGTTGCATTATGTCTTAAAAGGGTTGCAAAATTTTACCGCAACACTTTTGGTATGGTTGCATATAGTGGGGGTTGCAAAAGGAATAGGCAACTGTTTTTTCATTTTTCGTAACCCAAATATAAAGGGTTGCGTATCCTTACCTCTTACGCAACACCTCTTTAGGCAACACATTTCACAATTTTTGCAACTCGTTTTTGAAAAATGGGCGACTGTTTTTTTAATGTTTTTGCAACATTTAAATTTCATTTGTGACAATTCCAAATTGTCATAAATGAATTACCAATTATGACAATTTTTCGTAACAGATAGTAACAAGCGCATGACAATGTTATCGTCAATAAAAGATACTTCTGTGACGAGTTAGTGTTGACACGAAAACCCAAGCAGTGACATGTATAGTTGTCACAAATAATGTCAATTGTGGTAATAGTTCTGACACAAATACACTTTTCGATGTCTAGTTGTCACAAACTACTAATTTGAGAAGGAAACTTATTTGAGAAGGTAATAGTAGAATATGAAGGGATGTGCTAGAGTTTTAATTTGAGAAGGAAACTTATTAATTTGTTAAGTAAATAAGAGATAAAATTTGGTGCAACTAAAATCACGGCATATCTTCTCCTTCCCAATGTTTTTACACGGTTGAGTTGAAATTTCGGTTCATCTCTTTTTAATTCTTTTAATATATTATTTTGTTAATTATATATTAAAATGATTATTTTTTGCAACACAATTTGGTAAAATGTTGGGTAACTATACTCATACGCAACCCTTGTGATTTATGTGTTGCGTATAATAGAGCAAATGCAACATATGTTTTCAAACTACTAATTTGGGTTGCATAAACTACTTAATAGGCAACCACATAAAAAAGTGTTGCCATTATATAGTTAACGCAACAGTTTCAAATAGTGTTGCAATCCGAGTGTTGCAAGAAACCCTTTTTCCCGTAGTGTCTTGCTTCATCTTCCACACCAATACTCTATTTTCCAAGGATTTTGATCCAAGGAAGAAAACAGACTAAAGTGTTCTTCATTTTGGCTTGTTTGGCTAGGCTCACTAGTCCTCAAGCCCATCTCAACTTTAGCTCTCAGTTCATAGAATTCGAGTGGGCTTTGTGAAGTTCGATTTTCTTCCTTCTTCTCCTTCACTACTTTTCCCAAACTTCCAATCTCTAAACTCGACCCTTTGGTTTCTATAAGATCCCACTATGAAACCTCTTCCAACAACTCGAATTATTGGGATCAACTGGTTATTGCGGCTTCCGCCTTGCCTCCACGCGCTCTAATTAACCTTGTGGTGAGCAGAAACTCCGGGGACCTCTTCATCATCTTGATATGCTTACTATCCATAATTCCCTTCACTACAGGAAAATTCACCTCCGAACACGGGATTTCCCGTGACTTAATAGCCAATTCCCGTGACGGAAAGCATTTGTCACGGTATTTTCCCGTGTCAAGCATACCCGTGATCAAATGTAAAATATTATGGGAAATCCCGTGACAGAGAAGATACAATAACGGGAAAAAGACCATGACAGAAGCTTTATTTTGTCACGGTAATTCCCGTGATTAAGTTGCAAAATAGTCATGGGATTTCCCGTGACTTCTTGCGTTATTCGTCACAGGTTACGTCCAATAGTCACGAAATTGTAATGATTGTGACCAATTTAAAGCAAGGGTTTTGGTCTCGATGGTCACGTCGTTGATCCTTACTAATCACATGGAAATCAAGTGATGGATACTAATCAATAGTCACTAGAGAAACCTGTGATGAGGTACACACATTATTTTATGAAAAAGAGAGGTTTTATTTCATAAATATGATCAAAAAATTCTTTGTATAAACTGTTAGCAACTACTAACTGCATTACATACAACATTTGCATTCTTTTTGTACACAAGTCCGTAGTTACAAGTGACTGTAGACTGGGCAGTCTTTGCTGCAAGATCTGCTGCAAATTCAGGACACACCAGATACTTCAAGTCAAGCATAGAGAATGTTCATTGTTGCACCGAACCCACGAATGCGTTTGGACAGGGTTTCATTCTTCATGGGCTGCCAGTTGCCAAAAGAGACATCGTGGGCTGAAGGCTGTAACTTCTTCTTCAGAGTCATCCACATCCAAATGGCAGTATGGAAAACCAAGGTAGCATTTTGCTCTATGTACTTAGGGTGACAACAAATCTGCCTTGATACTTTGTCCAACTTTACCATAGTTATAGTTCCTGTGGACATAAGTCAGTGTGAACATCAGTAACAGTGACTAATGTTTTTATTTAAATATTCTACAATTCCTATACTCTCACTTTGGTGATGGAAGGGAGAAAGGAAAAAGAGGAATCCATATGATTCATTTACAAACACACATACAACACTAGATAATCATGAACTTCGCATCAAGCTAAGTCTCTTCTTTTTTGTTATCATTCATAGTTGTAGCCAACTGAAGTATAGTTAAAATAAGTTATCTGAACCCCATTTGACTGCACTACATCTCTGCTAGCTTGCTTAGTTCAAAGAAAACAGAAGACCAGTAATAACCAAAATAGAGAATGAAGCATTGGTATCTACCCGTAGATAGGATTGGTGCCACGACCATAGTACTAAGCTCCAGAGGTACAATGGTAGCTGCACTTGAAGTAATCGTCAATGTATAATTGCTAAAGGCTTTCTTGTCACCACTCCATAACCACCTAAACAGTATCATCAACACCATTGCAGAAATTTATTAGCTTTCAATCGCATCTCATCCATGGTAAATTTTCATGATCTCGATTCCAATTATAGAAGTTTAACATTGTGGTCCCCTTGATCCTGTATTTCAACCCAAAATTCAGCCATGAATTCGAACAATATGTAACCAGCATATCATAAACTGCATCAATGCATCCAAATCATTAACTCTGCTACATATAGGTTAGCTAGATATATGTACCTTGAACTAGAGCCTCAGGCTCGATGTTAGCAACGAACTTATTGAAAGCTTCAGGGATGATGAACCCAACGACTCCAATCATTACACACCTGACGTGAATCATCTTGTACTCCTTATACCTGCAATAGATCAAGCAAACTCCAATTAGTTGAATTTGATTGTCAAGCAGCATGAACCCGCTCATGCGCAGAGATTGAATACAATTACATTGAAGGCAAGTACATATTTCAAAATTATTTGTAACAACATAGAGAACTGAATCAATAAGATCAGTGCCCTCAGTGTAGTGACCTATGGCATAGTTGTTACCAACACCAGACTGGCAAACGATTAATGAGATCAACGCCCTGGAGATCCATGAGCAAAACATGGGACAGAAACCGTCCACATGACATCTCAAGTTGAATATTGGAGGTCCTAATGTATATTCTGGTGGGGTTAATGTCATGCTCATCGCAAATGACATCCTAGAACTTGAAACCCATCTAGTTCTGGCACTGGCCTCCTTGAATGTGCAAGATTTATCTCATTTTCTAGGTTCTCTGTATACCAAACACTTAATGACCGACTTTAGTGTCCAATTACAATCCATTGAAGGATAAAGCACTACTGAGAAAAGACAAAGAAATCGAGCATAATTGGCCTAATTCTCTGTAAGTAAGCCAAACTTTACCATATCTGAGACTCAATTCAATGATAATGCTTCTTGGACTTTCAGTTACCATCTAAGAAATCAAGCACACTACAAAACTTCAAAGAGATTTGCTATTGGAAAGTGGAAACCCAGAGCACCAAAGTTCACTTGCTTGCCCTCTACAACTATCAAAGCAGAGATGGAGAAAATTGGTAGGCAGAGACTTACAGATGATTGACCGCATATCAGTAGCGGAAATGCCTAGGTTTCCCTTGTGTGGCCGAGACAGCAGAACAAGACAGCCGATTGGGGACAGGACAGTCCGCTTCATCTCTAGCTGGGCTCTAACGAGTCAAGGGCTCGCGGCGGAGGCAAAGAAAGTGGCGCCGGGAGAGGGCCACTAGTTGCATGTTTGTGGGGGCATGCATCTATGAGAGATGATAGAAGAGAAACGAATTAGGGTTTTATAGAAGTGGGGGGCTAAATAAAATTGGGATTGGGGAAAGCAAGGAAAGAAGTTCAACGCGGTCCTTCAACACTTTCTTCAAATTCTAAAGCACATAACTGTTTTTCCCTTTGTTCTTCTTTGCTCTCTACACGTAGTAACCTGAAGAGGTATTGGAGGCGGAGGATGTGGATTCTCAGGCCACAGCTGTGGTTGGTGGCGGAGGAGCTAGAGTGGGGATATTCATCTGACTCTCACTCATGCCTCCTTGCCATGTTTTAGCAGAGGAATGACATTTCTTCTTTGCTTGCTTGGTTTAGAGAGAGAAAAGAAAGGAAAGAAAGAATGAATGAAGAAGGTAAAGTCGGGTAAAGTTAAAGGGAAAGAATTGAAAATAAGCGAAATAATTGGAGAGGGCGGGGCACTTGAAAATTTTCGGGAGATAAAAAACGAAGGCGACAATTATTCTCGCCTATCATGTTTTCGTTTCCGCCCACCAACAGTCATGGGAAACTATTCTGATTGTTGTTTAACTACCAACAAGTTACAGGAATATCTCCCTGTGATAAATAGGTCATTATCGGTCACGAGAATCTACCCATGACAAAATGTTCCCGTTATTAAAGATGGATTTTCTTGAAGTGCTTGTCCTCGTAAAAGCTCAATTACTCAACGAAAAACGTCACTAGTGATCGGGATAGCAAGTTTGAAATAGGGTTCATGTTTTTAGACAAGTTAACTAGTATGGTGATATAGTCTTACTTTTTTTTATTAGGCACCAGTTAAGAGGTTTGAAGGTGAAACCTGCAAGTTTAAAACTAGTGAGCTAGTTTACCGTTTGTATATTTTTAATTTTCAGTTAAAAATCATATCTATTCCGTCTTTTCCTTTATACGAAATCGTTTCATCTAAAATACCAAAAGTTGAGCTCTATATCCTTTCATCACCAAGTAGTATCCATTATGTGAAGATCTTCGTCGTCCTCAACTCCCTACTCAATCCACAAGAGGGATACTATCTTCAATATGATTAAAGATTTAAGGGAGTTACTGTGCTATAAGAGATTTGCTATTCTGTACTACTGTCTTTTTACCTTTCATCCTTTGGATCACCAACCCCTTACATTGGCCACGTTTGCCTTGGGCGACCACTTCCGCTTCCATTTGTTTCACCGTACCAAGTGCCACCTCTTTCTTCATTTGTCTACTAGCTACATCCATTTTTTAAAGTTAGAAGCATGGAGGAGTTGAGATTAATAGGATCTACTTCAAATAAACGTTTAAACCTACTACCGGGAATGGTACTATGGTATATGGATAATGTAAAGTAGGATTTTGGTTATATAAATTTTAAAAAATGTAGGTACTATGTAAATTTTTAGATACCAAAATACAATTTGTAATGATATTTTTCATCTAAAAAATAAAGTTTAGGTACCAAAATGTAAATCATAAAAAGTATAGATACTCAATTATAATTTGTCATGAATCTATCCACCAATAAAATTGGATTTGATCAAATGCTTTGAATTTAACCGAATTGAATTAATTGAATATTTTAATGGATGGATTGGATTAAATTCATGAATTTGATTATTAATTCCCACCTCTATGTGGAACGTATATGGTGATTCATATTCTTCATCAGTATAGGAGCGCCAGATCTGATGCATATATTAACCACCATCGTTCCCGTTGAAGAAAACAATATCTTCCTCAATAAGGGTCGCTCCTTAACACCATAGATCATCACCATCGCGGAGTGGCTGGATTTTTTCGACTACTACGCCATTTCTCCTTCTCGATTGATGGGGACCAAGTCATTATCTTCCATTTGTCAATTAATCGGGCTGGGATAGAAAAACAAGCATGCTAACGAAACGGGCAGGGTCAATTCAGTTGTCAGCCAAGCAGGTTTGGGAGCAGTTGATGTAGTTGGCTACAGCTGCTTAAAATATTATACATGTGGCTAATCATGCCATAGAGAAAACACAAATTTGAGATTTCTATTCCAGTCAAGTTGATGGCTAATGCAAGCAACATTTTATACCACATGGTGAAAAGAGCATAATCTCAAGTTTATTACGAATTCTATTATATAAAGGTAAGCAAACAACATCTCTAAAATCCATGTAATAGCACAGTAAAGCGCGGCACAACACAACCCTAGTATCACTTATAGAAGAGAGTCAAGAGACACGTGAGTTTCTATTTAAGAGGCGTGCAACATGATCATTGGGGCCTGGAAGATAGAACGCAGGTTTCTCGATTTCAGAGCTCAACTCGACTACAAAGCATGAATATCTTGTTTGCAACACTAATCCTAGAAGAGGTGCGTAAGTCAAGTTTCTTGATCCAAATAGGAAATCTAGGACTCCTCATAGAAAACTCATAAAGCTACAATATAGGTGGAAAAAACATAGAATTGATGTTCTTTTCAATGGATTATGGAAGTTTTGAAACATAATAACCAGGAGAATCTGTAACTAATATGTACAAAAGATTTAATGAGTTGTTAAACAAACTCAGAGGTTTAGGAAGAGTTTATTTGAACAAAATTTTTGGTTCAAAAGATTCTTAGATCACTTCCTCGTAAATGGATGGCTAAAAGGACATCAATGGAGGAAGCAACATATTTAAATATCTTTCAGTTGAAAGATTGATGGTTCACTTCTGAGGCACGTGGAAGCTGTTAACCAAATTAATCATGATGATGATAGAAGAAGAAGAAAAATATTGCTTTTAAATCTCAATTGAACTCTTTTGAAGTAAGTAATTTGTTTGATTTGATATGAATCGGGCTATTTGGCTACAGCTCTAAGTCACGAGACTCAATGTTATTTAGGTTACTATTTTGGACCTGGTTTGTAATCATTTTCCTTTACCATATTGGATTAGGGTTAGAATACATGTAGAAGTACTATAAATACTTCTCGTACTCCTTTGTAATTTGTATCTCATTGAAGTATAGTAAAATTGACTCTCTTCTGTCTGTGGACTAGTTAAGACACATTGTGTTAATAAACCATGTAAATCCGTGTGTTGTGTTTTTTCTTGCTGTCGTTTCTTGCTTTGTCGATCTTCCGATTTTTCTATTCGTAGACAAATAGTCGTGACAAGTGGCATCAGAACTCTTGATGGAAATCAGGTCAGGGTTTCGAGATTTAAGAATGACGTCGGTGAAGAACAAAACATTAAGATCAAAACGTTCACAGGGAAGAACAATTTTGGTATATGGCATATCAATATGCAGGCACTATTGAAACAACAAAGGCTATGGTGGCCCTCTCTGGTAAACAAAAGAAGACAAGGGTCGATGATGATGAGTGGAATACCCTAGGGGAGAAGGCCCACTTGTCCATCATGCTATCGTTGTCTGACGATGTCATCATTGAAGTTGCTACTAAGTAGACTATCGTGGGCTTGTGGTTGAAGCTGAAGAGTCTATATATGACGAAGTCCTTAACCAACAAGTTGCATCTTAAGCAATAGTTATTAAGCTTGCGGGTGCAAGAAGGTACTCCTTTGAGGGAACATCTGGAACAACTTAATTTCATCTTGTTAGATTGCATAACATAGATGTTAAAGTTGATGAAGAAGAAGCTACCCTAATCATGCTTGTTTCTTTGCCGAGTTTATATGAGAATTTTGTGGATTTTTTTATTGATGGTAAAGATAGCTTTTCGTTGGAGGATGTCAGATATTCTCTTCATACGAGAGAGATCAGGCATAAGGCGTCCGGATCTAGTATAGGTCGCGAAGCATCGGGGTTGACTGTTATAGTTGGAAAGGGAAAGGAGATATTTGGTAAAGGGTATTCTAACAAAAACTCAAATACTAAGGGTCTCAGTCCACAGTCAAGAGATGTCTGTCACATCTGTAAGGAAGTGGCTCATTGAAAGTAAAACTGTCCTAGAAGAAAAAGGCAACATGAGAATTAATGCTCAGTTGCTATGGCAGAAGTGGACAACAGTTCTGAAGATGATCTTGGCATCACGCATTGGCTGTAGATGAGAAGACATATCGTGGTGATGTGCGATTTCATAGATATTGCAGCCTCATATCATATGTCTCCGAATAACTATTTTTTTTTTCAACCTACGAGCATATAGATGGTGGTGACATGGTTATGGCAGATGGAGCTATTTGCAGAGTGTTGGAATCAGGTCCATCAATATTTGGACACATGATGGTTTGTTCTGTACCATGAATGAAGTTAGACATGTTCCACGCACAATGAAGAATCTGATCTTTTAAGTCTTCTTGACCGGAAGGGTCTAAGTTTCAAGGGAAAAAGGTGAAGTTATGTATGTGTGCAAAGGTTTGAGGAAGGTACTGAAAGGCGTGAAGCATGGCACCTTGTATGCGTTACATGAGTCTGTGTTGTCAGGTTCTGGTGCAGTTGAATCAGCTCAGGCTCATTAGAAAGATATGACCACTAAGACTTAAATTTTAATATTTAAGGATTAGGATATAATATCATGTTTGAAATTTTAATTGTTCAAAATCTTGACATCATTTTGTTACTCAAAATATATCATACCTTTGATTTTACTCAAGGTACAATAAAACTGTCTATTTATAAATCAGATTGTTATACTTCTGAATCTTTTTACAATATCTTTATCTAGAAACTAAATTTATGATATCATATTTATTCATACTCATGTACCACAAACTCTAATTAACAAAAAAAAAACAGAAATTATTGTAGGGGGTTATAAACACATCCGAGACTATGTCATGTGCAATCGCTCTATTGCTGAACTACCTTCATGTGTTGTGCAAAGCCCAGGAAGGGCTCGATCGATGCGTCAACAGGGAAAGAGCAGTGACACAAGAAGACATTCCGAAGTTGGTCTATCTCTAAACAATCGTTAAAGAAACCATGAGACTGTGCCTGGTGGCACCGCTTTTGAACCCGCGTGAGTTACCACTGACTACGATGTGGGCGGGTACAGAGTCCGTAAAGGCACATGGCTGATGGTGAACGTCTGGAGGATCTGAAGCGACGCGGATGTGTAGGACGACCCTACGAAGTTCAAGCCCAAGAGGTTTTTGACGACCCACAAACACATTGACATGAAGGGGCATAACTTCAAGTTGTATCCGTTTGGGTGCGGGAGGAGATCTTGATCTGGGATGAATTTGGCCCTCCATTTGGTGCTTTTCATGCTGGCAATCTTCCTACATTCATTTGAGATTTCGATGTTGGGTGACAAGATGGTGGACATGAGAGAGAGCATCAGACTCACTACCATTATAGTTGGGTCGCTCGATGTTAATGTTACTCCATGACTATTGCCCCACGTTTACGCAGAGTAGGTACTACGCATGTGTGTGCTTGATTTTATGTGTATTTTCAAGATTGGAGGTTATTATTATGAATTCATACACTTTTGTGATGTCCCTTGTTCAACTACAAGATCAGATAGTAAAATGTGCCCACCCTCACTAGAACATCTTCCATAATACCCCTAACACTAATCACCAACCGGTCAGCCAATGTCACACTTAATCTAGTGGTTTTCAATTCACCTAGGTTCAATTTCTTGTAAAGCTTAAAGGGCATGACGTTAATGCTCGCACCTAAATCCGCCAAGTAATTTTCTTTATGGCATGCTCTGATGCAAAGAGGGATAGTGAAACTACCTAGATCTTATTGCTTTTTAGGAAACTTGTTTAGAATGAAGGTCGAGCACTCCTCGCCCAAGATGACAGTGGCGTGGTCTTCAAACTTTTGCTTCTTGGCAAGAAGCCCCTTTCGATACTTGGCATACCATGGAAAGTATGTCATTGCCTCCAAGAAAGGCATGCTAATGTGGAGCTTCTTGAGAATCTCCATGAACGTTCCACACTCAACCTCCAACCGGCCCTTGTGCACTCTCATAGGGAAAAGAAGAGGAGGCTCGTACTCAACCACTAGTGGGGACGTTGGTAATGCGTTCTTAGCCTCTTCACCTTCTCCTTCCGATATTTCTTGATCATCAACTGTTGGCGGAGTCTTTTCTTCTTCAATTACTTCCTTAGAAACAACATCCAGAGTTACCTTCCAACTCCTTAAGAGAATAACATTCAACCCGACATTTTGATCTTTGGGGTTGGCAATAGTTTGAAAAGGTAGAGCTCCCCTTGGTCTTTTGGTGAGGATCCCGGAAAGAATTCCAATTTGGATCTCCAAATTTTGAAGGCTTGCTTGATGGCTCCTTAGACCCACCTCAACCGAAGGGAAAAAGTTCGTTGCTCTGTCCATGAATTGTTCAATCTTCTCGAACTTCTGTGAGCTTGTACTCACAAAGGTGGTAACCAGGTCTTCAAGTTTTGCAAACTTATCGGGATGTTGTTGTTGGAACCCTTGTCCACATTGCGTTTGGAATGGTTGTTGTTGGAAGTTCGAAGCTTGGAATTGCGGCCTTTGTAGAATGAAAGGAGGCCTTGGTTGATAGTTTTCGGTCGGTCCTTGGAAACCAGGGGGTCTTGAATTGCTCGGGGAAGACCAAGTGAAGTTTGGATGGTTTTGCCACCCCGGGTTGTAAGTGTTGCTATAAGGGTTGTGGTTCCCCCTAGCATTGGCGATGTAGCTTACTTGTTCTTCCGGGGTGCTTGCTTCCTTCATCAATTGACAATCCGCAATCTCATGGTTGGTACTTGACCACCAATCATCACATGCCATCAACGACTTCTTCACTTGATTCTTATCCTCAAGAAGTGCATTTATCATTTGGTCAATCTTGGCGGTGAGCAGAGAAATCACCTCCGTGGAGTGTACTCCTCTCTTGGCAGCCCTTCCACCAAATCTCATCGATCCCCAATCATACCCTTTTGTCGCTATATCTTCAATTAAAGCGGTCATCTCAAGTGGGGTCTTTTTCATCAAGTTCCCTTAGCGTAAAGAGCAATGGGAATATTGTCTTCTTGAAGGAGACTGTCGTAGAAGGTTTCGATCCGAAAATGCTCTCCAAACTTGTGATGTGGGCATTGGTGGAAAAGTCGGAGTACCTCTCCCATGCAGCCCTTAATGTCCCGTCCTCCTCTTGAGCAAAGTGGGTGATCTTCTTGCGACACTCCAGTGTCTTAGAAGTTGGAAAATATCGGGCCATTAACTTGTTGTATTAGACCGTGTCTCAGTCCACGCCTCTTAGCCCATGTGTCACGTACATGCAGCCCATGCAGCCAAGTCCTCGTCCCACGACGAGAAGGAAACCCTAGTTGTGTATTGTACAAAGGGTTATATATGCTTGTGTAATCATCGGCTACGACCGACACATTGAGAAATAAAACATCAACCGGAGAGCTTTCAACTCTCCCATGGAGTAGTCTCGGTCGATACGTCGGTCCGGGAAATCACGTTAAAATCCTTGTCTCTTACTTTTCCGCATATTTTTCATGGTATCAGAGTGTTAACGATCCTTGTTAAGTGCACGAGATGGCTGGTGAGGAAGAAAGTCCTGACAGCGAAAGCTCTTTCAGTAGAGGCAATAAGACGATGAGCGATGGTGGCAATGGAGAAAACCTTCCCCCCATCTATCAATTGCCCTTGTCCGAAAGTCCCGTAAAAATGTTGGTTGGTGATGTACTCACCGCAACGAACTACTGCGAATGGGTGTTAGACATGAAGGACACCCTGCTTGCCAAAAACAAGTTTAGTTTTGTCGATGGCACTACACCCAAACGTGATGCTAGAGCGCAAAGCAATGCCTGGATCCGGTGCGATGCTATGGTCAAAGGTTGGATGAAGACAGCCATGGACAAAGAAATCAGAAGCAACGGGCAATTTACTGAAACCTCGCGCGAAATTTGGCTTGATCTCAAGGGTCGATTCGACAAAGGCAACGCCTCCTGCGCCTATGAATTATGACGCCTTGTTAGTACCTTGTAGTAAGAGAAACACTCGGTGTCAACCTTCTACACCAAGTTGCGGACGCTGTGGGAGGAGACAGCTGCAATTACTCTCGCGCTGACCTGTACCTGCAATTTGTCTCTCCGGATTCGCGAACAGTAGGACAACTCTTGTCTGTTTGATTTTCTTATGGGGCTAGACGATGCTTTCTCAGCCGTTCGCACCCAAGTTCTCACAATGAAGCCCACACCAAGTCTCTCCAAAGCTTTTGACATCGCCACCAATGAAGAGCAGCAACGTTTGATCTCTCAAAACCGCCGCCCTGCTGGTGAGGCGGTCGTGCTCGTTGCTCGCAGGGACGGAGATCGAGGGCATCACGAGCACGACAAAGGGCGCCCGACTGATGATGAAGATCGCCCTCACTGTTCCTACTGTCATAAGTGCAGCCATCTTTGTCAGAGCTGCTGGGCTCTCATTGGATATCCTCCGCAGAATCGTAACGATTCACGTGATCGTGGTGATGTGCGCGGCGACGGTGATGTAGGCCTAAGGTTTCGGGTGATGGATCCTCGCGTGATAGTGCTCCCAAGGCAGCCCAAGTATATCATGATAAGGCAAGAGTCCGGTTGCAGGCTTCACTGTTGAACATCTCAAAATCTTCTTCGCTCATTCGGCCAAGGGTGCGGACGATCCCTCGGCTCACTCCGCAGGTATGACCTCGTTCACCACTGAGTGGTTGTTAGTCTCCGGTTGTAATGAACATATTACAATGGATGATACTTTATTATCTTCCAAGGAAGCTGCTGTTCATGGACAGCCGGTTAAGATACTAAATGGGGCAAGCGTCCTGGTTCGTAATTTGGGTAGTGTGGATCTGCCAGCCGACATAGTTCTCAAGCGTGTTTTACATATACCAGAGTTTCAGTGTAATCTCATTTCCGTTAGCCATTTTTCCAAAGAGAATCACGCTGCTCTAATCATTCTCGATGATTTCTGTGTTATTCAAGACTTGCAATCCAAGAGATTGATTGGGAAGGGTGAGTTGCGTGATGAGCTTTATTATCTCCGTCTGTTTGGAACTAGGTCGGCGCACGCTTGCACAATGAACAACAGTAAATGACTTTCATACAGAATTTGGCAAGCCCACTTGGGGCATCCATCGCATGCAAAATTGGAGAAGCTTTGTTCTTTTTTGTCGGTTTCATTTCAGTCTAATAATGAGCCGTGTCACTCGTGTGCACGAGCAAAACAGTCTAGAACTTGTTTTCCCACTAGTGGTGTGCAATCAAAGGCTTGTTTTGATTAGTACACATTGATATTTGGGGAGGATACTCCGTTGCTTCATTGAGTGGTGCCTATTACTTTCTCACCATAGTGAATGACTTCAGTCGTGGTAAATGGGTGTATTTACTCCGGTATAAATCAGAAGTGGGTCGATACTTTATGATGTTTGCTCAATAGGTGCGTACTCAGTTTGGTAGATGCGTTCAACACATCCAGACTGATAACGGGTTAGAGTTCAATACCAAGGTTTTGAAGCGGTATTATGACCAGGAAGGTATCGGTTTCCAGACATCGTGCACTGATACGCCACAGCAAAATGTCATCGTGGAATGCAAGCATCACCATCTACTCGATACGGCGCGATCTCTCCTATTTCAGGCTAGCTTACCACTTCTTTTTTGGGGAGAGTGCGTTCTGACCGCCGCATACTTTATTAATCGCCTTCCTCCGGACGTGACCGGTCGCACCCTTTTAAGACACTCTTTGGTAAGCCCGCTCCTTATTGTCACTTACATACTTTTGGTTGTCTGGTATATTCGAAGAACACCCATGGCCATCTCGACAAATTTGGGGAGCGAGGCCGAGTTTGTGTGTTTTTGGGTTATGCTTTAAGTTAGAAAGGTTATCATGCATATGATCTCACTTCCCGCAAGATCTATACTTTTCGTGATGTGCTTTTCCATGAGGAGATTTTTCCTTTGCACTCGGATCATAGTCGCGGCTTTCATTGGGTGCCGCCAATCCTGCCATATTCTGTGGATGTTGATGATGAATTCCTGCTTGAGCTTAGCACCAACCCACCTACACCATCCGCCAAGGAGACTATGTCTCCGCCTCCTCAGTCCGATCCCTTGCCGATTCTCCTGACCTCTCCTATTTGGATAGTGATCATATAGAATCGTCACTAGCTCCCGACCCTCCTACGAGTTCTCTACCGCAGGACCATGCTCCTCTTCGTCGAAGTGATCAACTTCGGCGCCCTCACAAGAATCTTGAGATCTATGACACCCCTTCCATTCCAGGACAACCCTCGCACACCACTTTGACAGCTAAGTATACCATTTCAGCTTATGTTTCTTATTCTGGTGCGAAGTCCACGTATTATGCGTCCTTAGCTACCGTTGACTCCCATGATGTACCTCAAACTTATTTGTAGGCCATGCAGGATCCTCGTTGGCGTGAAGCCATGATCAAAAAAATCACTGCTCTCGAGCTTAATAGCAGTTGGACGTTGGTTGAGCTTCCTCCTGGTATGTGTGCCATATCACCCAAGTAGATTTTCAAAATCAAGTTTCACGCTGATGAAATGATTGAGCGCTATAAAGCCCGCCTGGTTGCGAAAGGCTAAACTCATATCGAAGGTATCGATTTCCACGACACCTTCGCTCATGTCACCAAGCTAGTCATTGTCCGCTGTTTCCTCGTCGTTGCAGTCAGTCGAGGATGGCATCTACATAAGCTTGACGTGAACAATGCTTTTTTTGCATTGAGATCTCGATGAGGAGGTTTACATCAAAATACCTCCTGGCTGCGCTAAGACCGACAATACTCGTGTCTGCCGGCTGAATAAATCCCTCTATGGACTCCGGCAGGTCTCTCGGAACTGGTATCATAAGTTCACAGATGCCCTTCAGAGTCTTGGCTTCCGCACTTCTCCTGCGGACCATTCATTGTTTGTTTTTCGGCGGGGGAGCACCTTTGTTATTGCTCTGATCTATGTCGAAGACGTATTGTTGAATGGTAATGACGAGGCTTTCATCTCAATGGTCAAGCATTTTCTTGACGATCAGTTTAACATTAAGGACCTTGGTGAGTTACGTTATTTCCTAGGCATGGAGTTTGTCGCACTTCTGATGGTCTCGCTGCATGTCAGCGCAAGTATGTACTGGATATTCTTACAGATGTTGGGGTCACTGATGCGCGACCTAGTGCCTTCCCCGTGGAGTAGAACCACTAATTGACTCGTCCGACTATTGATGAGGACACTCTTGCTGACCCTGCTGCGCATCGACGGCTGGTCAGACGACTTCTCTACCTAACAGTCACGCGTCCTGAGCTCACATATGCCGTTAATATTCTTAGCCAGTTCATCTCCGCTCCACGCCAGGATCATATGGATGCTAAAACTCGGATACTCCGTTACCTCAATTCTACCCCGGCCCAAGGTTTATTCTTTCCTACTGACAATAATCTCACTCTCACAGCCTATTGTGATGCAGATTGGGGCGGTTGCGCCATCACTCGTCGCTCCACCCCTTGTATTGAACTGTGTCTCAGCCCACGCCTCTCGGTCCATGTGTCACGTACATGCAGCCCATGAAGCCGAGCCCTCGTCCCACGACGAGAAGGAAAACCTAGTTGCATATTGTAAAAAGGGTTATCCCCTCTCCTATGATTCAAACTCTTACTAAACTACAACTTATTCAACTTCGGGACCAACTTGGGGGTGTCCCCTCTCCTATATCCTTCTTCTTGCTTCTACCAGCTCCCTCTCACGAGCCAAGAGCCGGAGAGTACGGTTGAGATTCTCGTTTGGTGGCGCCAAAGGTGTCAGATTTCTACGGGTCATACACCCTCCTGCACGCACTTCAACAAAACACAATTGGTCTAACACAAGCAAGATTCACACTCACAAAACAAAAAGTAAATGCTAGATTAACACCGAACAATCTTTTCCAAATAATGGACCAAAGTTTCCCGGCAACGGTGCCAAAAACTTGACTCGTCTCGAATACCACAATAAAAATCCCGATTAAGGCCAAATTATAAACCTTAACTGGGTGCGATATAGGGCAAGTATATTTTAAAAGTCGAACTCGGGTGGGTCCATGTACCCCTACTTCAATTGTTTGAAACATAATCTAGCAATCGAGTTTTGGTTGAAACTACGAACTAAAATTGAAAGTAATTAGAAAAGTAAATGGTTTTGAACAATAATTGAGAAGGCTTCGCCCGAGTGTTGCTCCCCCTAACTAGTAAGCATGATTTATTGGATTGAATGCAAATGTTTGGTAAAAGATGTTGTAAACCGTAGGGAAGCGCAACAAGTTGACAAACTTCACTCTCTCGGTCATTAAGCCAAGGGATTTCGAATCAAGCTACCAAAGTAGCTCTCTCAAACCGTAGTCCGGACGGCCAAAAATACAACCTACCCATGGTGCTAATATATATTTTGAGGTTTTCCCTAATTCAACCTAAATAGGTGACACAATTTGGCCAAGAAACTCCAACTTTTACAAGACTCTTAGCAAGAAAGGGATTTTCCTCTACATAGGTCAAATTGGAATAAGAATTGCAAATGCATAAACACGACGCAACCTTCATAAAAATACCTCAAAACTTGTATTAAAACACAAACACACACCAATCATTCCATCCATATAACCATTCACAAAATTCTAGCTAGCATTTACAAACATTCAAGTGAAAGAAAGGACTACTCCATACTGAGAATCCCTGATTACGCAAAGGAGAAGCGAAGAGACCATCATGAGAGGGTTGCCTTCTTCCTTTGGAGTGGAGATCAACCTTTGAGGATGAGAATCCCAAATCTTGGAGTTTGGATGAAACCCTAACTTCTCCTCTTCTCTTGTTCGTCACTTTCTCACTCTAGAAATGTGAAGAAGAAGTTTCTCTCTCACTAGGTTCTCTTATCTCTCTTTCAACTCAGCCCTCATTCTATACCCAGATCGACGACTTTTCACGGTCCAAGTTCACAATCGTTAACTAATGGCATGCACCGTGATGTCCAGCAAAAGTGTGTCATTACATTAAGGCTCTTCACAGTCTGGAGCTAATTATCACGGTCGACTGGCCTTGACTTTTGAATGCCCGCAAGATCGAAGCAATCTATGATATATAATTTATTTTTAAAATCAAATAGGACATATTTGCTCACATAATCTGTGTGTTAAACTTCATATAGGGTGAGATATATAATGTAACAATCCTATGAATTATAAAAATCATACTCATATAGATCGATAAGCTGATAACTTGGTAATCGAATTGGCTCTCTAGTCACAATATTGAGAGTTGAGACATCTTATGAGCTCTAAACGAGTCAGCTCACGAGTTGAGCACAACAAGCCACCGATCAAGCTAGCTCGCGAGCTCCGCGAGCTGCAGAAGGCTAAGCTCAAACTCGGCTTATTAGTAAATGAGCCGAATTTCGAACTAGTTTTTCCCAATTTGAACGTCGAGACACTCGCGAGCAGCTCAACGTGGCTCAGCTCATTTGCATCCCTACCTGCGTTCAATTGTCCCAATTGTTGCTGCATATAGCTGCTGATCACTATCACACGCTCTCGGATAGCTCGTCTCGGCTCATTTGCAGCCCTACCTGCGTGCATTTGTCCCAATTGATTCAACTATCACACACTCTCGGGTGGCTCGGCTCATTTGCAGGCCTACCTACTGCAATTAGCTGCTGATCACTATTACACGTTCTTGGGTGGCTCGGCTCGGCTCATTTGCAACCCTTCCCAATTGATTCAACTGCTACGAAAGTGATGCGGAACGGGATTTCACGCACCGGTGATCTCGAGCGATTTAGCGAGAGAACTAGAAAACACGATAAAAGAGCTACTTTTCTCTACTAACTACTAATACTTTATTGATCGACTTAATAAAATGAAGAGCAAAGGTACATATTTATAGGATTAATCCTACAAACCCCTTTCCTCTTAAGACAAGGAAACCCAAACCCAAAGCAACAAGTAAACGAATACTTCCCAAACAAGATACATAATAATAATCCTATACCCAAACTAATACGAATAACCCAAATAATAACCGAATATCCCACCAAATAATAATAATAAAACAACAACAACAATAATAATAATAATAATAAAACAACAACAACAATAATAATAATAATAATATTAATGGGCTCGGCCCAAGACGCCGTCACCCATCAATCCTCCCCCCTTTTTACAACTTCGTCCCCGAAGTTTCCTTCCGCTTCCGCTCCTTCTTCCTCTGCCTTGAAGTCGCCGATCATGACAAAAACATTAGCGTTGGCGCAGCGATGCCCATATGTGAATCTCTCGTCGCAGTTATAGCACAGTCCGTCGCGACGACGTCTAGCAGCTTCTTCTGGTGACAGGTTGCGGATGATGCGCCGTGGCGGAGGTGGTGGAGCAGTTGGTGGTGCAACTGGAGCAGGTGGCGGTAGCGCCCAAGTCGCGTCGGCGGTGGCAGTCCGCGGTGCAGTCCTCGTTGATCCCTTCTCCAAACGCAATCTTGGCCAACGCCTCATGTCCAGACGACTTCTCCGATGACCCATACCTTTTCCATAACTCGGCGCACAGACTGCTCCAAGTCATCATCACCCCGTACTTCGCGAATTCTTCCTCAAGCAACATGATCCACTGGTTCGCCTCACCATCCATGTGGTAAGTAGCCAGCGCCACCTTCTGCTCCTCTGGAATGTACTGGTAACAGAAGTACTTCTCAACACGCGAGACCCACCCAGATGGATCTTCCTTGCCAGTGAACTTCGGAAATTCGAGGGGTGCAATCCTGGTTCGAAACATTGCTTGACCTTGCTCCTCGAATTGACCCATGGGTTGGTCAAACCAGTCGGTCCACCCGAATACGGCCCACCCGGCCCGTGGACTTGGGGTCGGCCCACAGCGGGTCCGCACCAGCTCTGCTGACCCGGCCCGAGCGGTGGTCTGGGCTCGGTCCAGCTTGCCCCTGCAGCCCATGGCCCGCTTGGCCTAGCTCCCTGCGCTCCTGGCCCACTCGGCGGCCACTAATGGCGTGGCCCATTCCCCGGAAGACCCGGCCCACTGATGGAGTGACACCCCTCGTCCACGGCAACTGCCTTCAGCTTCTCTGCAGCCGTGATCTGGTCGATGGTGCGACCTTTTCCCCCAGCGACGAGGTCGAGCTCCTTCGTCGGCTCGACCTCCTTCTTCTCCCAAGGCGGATCGCGGAGGATTGCGAGGATCGCGCTGACGTCGTTCGCCAACCGCCCTTGCTCAACGCGGACAACGTTGATCTCCTTCGACAACCGATCCTGTCCATCCTGAAGTTTCTCCTGACCACGCTGCAATTGCCCGACGTCGACGCGGAGATGCTCCAGGGCTGCTTCGTGATCGCGGTTGATAGCATCCTGAGCTTCCATCCTAGCCACGATCGCCTATTGATAGGGATGGCAGTTCAACCCGGACCCGCGGGTACCCGACCCGACCCAACCTGGTCAAACCGGGTAAAATCCGTATTGATCGGGTTCGAGCTGGGTTCGGGTTTAAACCCGGTGGCTAGTTGGGCGGGTTTGGGGGAACCCGACCTGTGGATACCCGGACATACACCCTAAAATCTAAATTACCCGTCACCACTCCCCAGCCCACTTCCCTTCCCACCCCAGAGACATTTCACAAATCACAATCCCTAATCGGCAATCGCGACTCCTCTCTTCCTCTCTGCGACTCCTCTTCCTCTCCGGCGAGACCGCGACTCCTCTTCTCCATCTCCAGTCCCGACTCCCAATCCGACGACCGCCCTCCCCCGCTCTTACTTTGCTCCGGCTCCGGCTCTCCGACACCATTATCGGCCGCGCCCTCTCCAGCTCTCCCTACTCCTCTGCCCCGCCACCCCATCCGGCTCTGCTCCTCAGCAACTACTTCACGTCGTCGACTCAGCCGCCAGACACTGAGACACGCCACCAGGTAAGTGAGATGTCAAGATCCCCCTTGTTCTTGGAACAGAGGGTTTCATGAGTTTGTTTATGCTTACTGCATCATCTTGTTGATATATGATTAGAGCATCACAATAGGTGAAATTTCTTATGCTATATGTTTTACCCGCCTTATGTTCATTCAATTACCAACTGGTGGTCAATGTATTGATACATTCCATGCTGTCATTGACAGCTTGGTGAAAGGACAGCAAACATATAGAAGCATCTCTTCCCAGTGCCAAAGCCAGATACAAAGCGTATACTCACTTTTGCAAATCAATCAGACTATATCTCGTTCAGGTGAGTTTAACTGTCAAAATTACTTGGTTCTTTTTACTCCTAAAAATACTTGTAAGTTATCATATCACATAATAAAAAGATGTTTATAATATCATCCTTACTGCTCCTTATTTTTTCATTGCGTTCCCTTAACAATGATTTGCTCTTCACTTGAGTCGAGTGTATGTCATCATTTCTGTTGTGATTGTTGATTCCAGTAAGGGATAATGCGAACACTCATATTTGTGCTTTTGTTATCACTTATCACTACCGAGTCTGCGAATTCATGCATCACATGAATTTTCCATTTTCTCCTGACATTTGCTCTTGATAATTGATATGTGCAGGCATCATGTTTATGAAAAGCGTGGTGGTCCCAAGTCTGTCGAGCTTAGGGAGATTGGTCCTCGTTTTGAAATGCGACTCTATCAGGTAACTCTTGGTTACCGAAATTAACTTGGGTCTTGAAGTTTCTCTCTCTGATTAGTTGGAAAGGACCAAAGCGTCAGTCAGTGTAATCAACACCAACAAATTGGGTGCTTACTTATCATCATTAGTTCAATCATTAGAAACTAGGAGTACATAATGATGAATAACCTATCCCGCTCACAGAAATTGTATGTTCTTTAGACGATTTACTAACTTGCTATCCTATTTGCAGATGGCTTGGAAACAATTGATAAGCTCATGACTTATGCCACTGTTAATGATGACCTAGATCCAGATTGTGCTTCATGTGTTACTGGTATATTTAATATTATAATTATCTTCTTTAAAACATCCATCATTCTTATGTTTGTGGAGACATTTTTAATTTTGGTCTATCTAATTCTGTAGAATGAAGTCGAAGTTATGGAGATGAGAGTGAAGCTAAGACGACAATGTTCAAGTTCTCAAGGAGGAGGAAACTTTAACTAATCATGTTGTGTATTGATAATTTGTGACTTTGAATTTTCTAGATTGGAGTTGAACAATTTGTATGGATAGTGTGTGACCATCGAAAATGAAAGGTGGGGACGGATGGCGACACAAGCAAGTTGGTCAATTAAATGGACGCGACACAAGCAAGTTGCTGAACTAAGTCGGGCAGACAAACAACTAGCTAACAATCACCTCTCGGGCACGAGCTTAAGCAAGTTGCTGATGAAAATCAATATCAACAATGATGCCAAATTTGTAGAGGGTGATGGTTTTAGGACACCTCCTACGCGAGAGGATAGCTTGATTAACCACAATATATATTCTATGCGTAAATTACCATAAGAAGTTCATTTATTTTTAGGTGATTTATTTGAATAACGTACTTAGTACTTACTCTATTCTCGTTTCTTCTATGTGGTCAACGACAAAGTTCTGTTAACTATCTTTCCGCCCTCTTGTCTAATTTTTACTATACTAGTCTTTTTCGGAGTGTGGTTTGGTTTATTCGATTAGTTAGCTCACTTGAGTTAGCTAAATCCTTCCTCCCTTTCGTCCAACTTTATGAACCACCAACTAAATTATATTATATATAACACGAGTATTATGAACTAATAACCCTATCTACGGGATTTTCTAATGAATTAATTCAACATCCTAATTATTAAAACGATTTCCTCTCTAATCCTAATGGATGTTATTGTTCTTACATTTTAAAATTGCTTGATCACCAGTTTATTGACATGTTGTCCTCGACAAGTACTTAAACGGAAAACTCGATGATATACCACTAGCACAACCTCATAAATACCTTTTGAATTGAAAGTGAAAATAAGATATTGTGCGATCATAACCAGAGGTAATTAATCGTCCTTCATCCTATTTTATATTTTGTATTCTCTACAAAAGTAGTGGAAATTGAATTTTAAAATAGTACATAGTTTGTAAAAAAAAATAGTACATGATTTCATGCATGCCATGAAAATTATATTTCAGAGATTACCTCGATTGCAGGATTAAGAGATTAAAATGATTAATAGACTTTCTAATAACTTATGTAGATTTATGAAATTCCCGAGAATCCCCTAAACCTTTGAACCATAATTTCCTCCAAATTTTATCACCTGTTAAATATATTCAGTCTTTAATTTAGAAAAAAACTAAAAAAACTTCTGAAAATTGGGATTTTGAATAACTATAAGAGACTTAGATTGGTAAATTAGGGAGAACACTAATTCTCGTGGGTACAATACTTTACTTGAAACTATACTACTTGATACAGATTGTGCACTTGCAAGAAAATGTCTATAGACTTTTTGGCACCGTTGTCAGGGACTAATTGTTTCTGTTAATTTTATTAAAATGGTCTCTTTGCATGAATTGTTTAATCTGTGTTTTAGTGTGGAGAAAGTCCTCTTCATCTCCTCCTCTATGCATGCCTATAGGAATCCTAAGAATTTACTGCCTCTGGATCCAGAGATCAATAAGACTGCAAAGACATAACAAAGCATGCACGACTAGGAAAAGGCAAAGCAACAACGTCAACACCAATTCTCACTCCCATAATAGGTCCTCTACTCCTCCACCTAAAAAGGAACCTCATCAAGAAAGCACAACAACGAGCAAGATGGCTAGAGAACAACAAGAAGAGGTACATCCGATGAGTCATTTCCTTATGCAAAACTAGACGGTCCACGGTCGGCTCACTAAGCATAACCAGACCTGCAGCAACAAGAAACTTTGAACTAAAGCCATGATTCATCCAAATAATCCAAAATGGTTGCTTATTTGCGAGTCTACCAAATCAAGATCCATACGAGCATCTCCAGAAATTCGATGATCTTTGTGATGCCCTCACATGGCTGGGGTCGATCACGACACAATCAAGTTGAGAATGTTCAGCTTTTCTCTCATTGGAAGAGCAAAGCAATGGCTACAAACAATTGAACTAGGATCAATCACCACATGGGAAGAATGCGAGCACATGTTTCTAGAAAGGTTCTTCCAACCATAAAAACTATATAGTGGCATGATGAAATAATTAATTTCAAGATGTTTGATTGAGAAACCATGTACAAGGCATGAGATCGCTTCAAAGAATCCATTCGGTAGCGTCCCTACCACGACATAGAGATATGGTGTCGAATTGCCACCTTCTTCAAAGGCTCTCTTCCACTTGTGCACACATCTCTAAATTCCGCATCTTGTTGATCTTTCATGGCTTTGGGGGCGACAAAAGCATTCAATCTCTTCAATATAATGGCCAGAGATGCACATGCACGGGAGCTGTCAACAAACCTAATGCAACTGACTACTAGTGTTTCAAAACTACCTGTAGCAAATTGTGAAATCTGCAACGGTCCCCATGCCACCGAACATTGCCTGATGCTCGCCTCATCTTCTTCATCATCAGTTGAGCAAGTCAACAAATATGGGAAATCGTGGTCCAAACCAAGCTGGAGCCTACACCAAGACCTACAATCATGGATGGAGAAATGATCCAAATTTCTTTTATAGCAACAAAAACAATCAAGTTGTCAATAGAGCCCTACCTGGGGTTGAACAGGAGAAGAAGTCTACCATGGAAGAGATGCTCATGTCAATGAACCGAATGAACAAGACCATGAAAAATTTCATGGGAAAAGTGGATGAAAAATGGACCAAGAAAGACCAAAGAAATAGAAACCTTCAAGCATCCATCCGCAACATTGAACGCCAGTTGGACCAGCTATCAAACGAGGTGCAAAATAGACCCATGGGCACTCTCCCATCTAACTCCGTCATCAATGCAAGGGATGCCAAGTTGTGTGCTATAACACTCAGAGAGAGGAAGCAATTGGCGGATCCAATCCTATCAAACGGAAAGGAGAAGGAAAAATCATCGAAAGCCTCTTAAAGCACAACTCCACCACCACAGTAGCCAGTTATCAAGGCATACCAACCCTCAGTTCCATTTCCCCAAAGGCCGCTGAAGAAAAAGGAAGATGAAAGCTTTCAAAAATTCCTCAACCTTTCAAGCAACTATAGATCAACATTCCACTAGGCCAATGTAGTCAAAATCGCTTTTTAAAACTTAAACAACTTAAGCTTTTACGCTTCTAAGTCACCGCTTCTACATAAAAACTCAGTTTTTATGACTAATGTAATTAAAAAAGTGCTTTAAACCTTAAAAACTTAAGTTTTTATGCTTCTAGATCATCGAAACGCTTCTACATAGAAACACGCTTTTGACTACATTGGCCGAGGCATTAGAGCAAATGCCAACTTATGCCAAATACTGAAAGAAATTGATCACAAAGAAGAGGAACTGAAGTAGCATGGACAAGGTCACATTTACAACAGAGTGCAGTGCATTAATCCAAAATCGAGTTCCTGAGAAGCTACAAGATCCATGAAGCTTCACCATTCCTTGTGTAATTGGAAGTCACGAGTTTGCTCGTTCATTATGCAATTTGGGAGCAGGCATCAACTTGATGCCATACTCAGTGTACAAGTGCTTAGGCATCCCGAAAACACTCAACCCAGCAAATATGACACTCCAACTTGCTGACCGATCTATAAAGTATCCCAAAGGCGTGATCGAGAACATCTTGGTAAAAGTGTGGAAATTCATATTTCTTGCCACCTTAGTCATTCTCGAGATGGAGGAGGATCGAGATGTGCCACTAATATTGGGACGACCATTCCTAGCTATAGGAGGAGAACTCTTCGATGTTCAACAAG